ATAAATTAAGGTTTATCATTTGGGTCGGATCTTTGAAGATGACTTGCTACCATAAGTCATGACTGCCTGTCCTGAAGCCTGCCCTGAGGTCAACTCCCCTGAGTTGTGGCTGGGGTTTTTTGTTGGTGGTGGTTTGTTTTTCATAGCTTTAAGAATTCTAAAAAATTAGAATTGTTGAGCTACTTTGGGAAGTAGAGAGTATCTTGTGTTAGAGATATTATAAAGGAGGTTTATGTATGTATCAAGTGATAGACTTGATACCTAAAAATCCCATTTAGCTTTAAAATTATATTTATTCCTTTCTGTACTTCAGAACACACCAGAACTCCCTTGAGTTCTTAGTTTTTCTCACCACAGCTTAGTGTTAGCAAGTGGACAACCTTCGACAGTAGATGGGTGTAGGGAGGCGTTGGTTGCAGCTCTCTTCATTTGTGATTCTTGTCGGTTCACCGTGATGTCTGCGTAGAGTATAATGGATATTTTAACAGATGGAATCTGGGCAAGAGGGTATTTTTAAATTAGTGTCAGAACATATTCAGTTGATTGTATAAATGGATGCAACCTGCCTCCGTTTCAGATACTTTTTTTTAAGTTCTCTTAAGATTTGGAACATCATAATGTGCAATATGAATACATACAGTTAGGAATACATAAAAGTGATGTATCTTTATTTAGATAGCTATGAAAAGAAAACTAATTTCTAAACCATTTTGGTCAGTTGTCATTAAGTCCGGATTCTATATAAAAGAAGAATGTGGGCCTTGATTTTAAGTCTTAGCTATATATGAGGCTTCATTGTGTGCTTTAGAAAATAAATAAAGATGGGTTTTTCTTTTAGCTTGCTTTTTAGTGTGGCAGTTGCTTAGAATATTAACAAGTCAGTTCAACAGAAGCAATTTCTTTTTCATTTTGATAATATAGGCTAAATTTGGCCGAAGGTGGACCAAAATTGCAAAGCTAATTGGAAGTCGAACTATTTTACAAGTGAAGAGCTATGCCAGACAGTACTTTAAAAATAAGGTAAGTAGAATATGACTATCCTAATTGATAATAATATTTTAAATAAAATTAGTAAGAAAAAGTAGTTTTTAATTCAGGTATTAAAGTCTTAATGTTCCAAGTTTTTATAGTAGAAATATTTTATACCCATAAAGTACTCTACAGATATTTATCTTCAGAATTTCAAAGCATATCTTCAGTGTTATGATTGTTCCTATTGAATAGGTATTATATTATTCTACTTAATTTCATACAGTTAAATAGAAGAATAAAATATTAATTGCTCATTTAAAATGTAACAAACACTTTAAAGAAAAGAACCATAAAGGTACAATACACCAGTGATGTACTCAGTTTAATAACATTGTATTTATTCTGCTTTTTGTGCCAGTTATTAAGTTTTCAAATTGTAATATTGGGGTTTTATCTTGATTTTTAATAAGGTAAAATTAGATGGTCCAGAGAAGGAAACACCAAATCAGAAGAACAGCAGTGATTTTCAGATTAGAAGTGAAGATGAAAGCTCAAAGTCATGGACCCCATCAAGTTTAAGGGGACGTGCTGATCCCAACTTGAATGCTGTAAAAATTGAGAAGTTATCTGACGATGAAGAAGTAGACATCACAGATGAGGCAGATGAGTTGACTTCTCAGGCACCTCAGGAGAATCCTAGTAGTGATATTTTATTAGACACCCCTAATAGTAAAAGTAATGAAACCTACCAAGGAGAATGTATTACCTCTGACAGCAAGGAAGATCCCATTTCTAAATCTTCCAAGGAATATCTTCAGAATTCAAAGCACGTTGAGATGGAAACACTTTCAAGCTCAGGAATTAAATTTTGGACTGAAAAACAGAGCACCAGTGATAAAAAATCAGTTGAATTAAATGATCAGAAATGTAATAAACTGATGAAAAACTGTGATAAGCATAATGGAAATGGAATAGTAGATGATACCAGGCTGTTGCCTTCTCCGGAGCCTTGTGAAGTTCAGAAAGATTTGAGTGATCATGAAATGCTTTTTCATTCTTGCCAAATGGAGGAGGAGCACCATGAGGAAGAAGAGCTTAAGCCACCGGAGCAAGAAGTAGAAATAGATAGAAATATTATTCAAGAAGAAGAAAAACAAGCAATTCCTGAGTTTTTTGAGGGGCGCCAAGCTAAAACACCAGAACGCTATTTGAAAATTAGGAATTACATTTTGGATCAGTGGTAAGGAAGAATTATATTATAGATACTGTTTTAAAACTTATGATATTCTATAGTATTTTAATTAGGCTTATGCAGAAGTTAGTATTTTATAATGCTAATGATCCAGAGAACTTTAACATAATATATTTCAATAGGCATGACTTAAAATTTCTCGGAGTGAACTTTTTGGGGGAAGCTTTGGTAAACATTGTTATCTATAGCTATCTTAATCCATCTCTGTTCATTAGAGTGTTTGGGCCTGGAAAAAGGGGTAGATGATTGCCTTAAGAAGTACTTTCTTTGGGCATTGTTAGGAAGGTATAGAAAGCACTACTGTTCTGGAAAGGGGATAGCATAACATCTTTCCCAGTTTATCCTGTACTTTGAAATACAAAGAAAGAAAACTTCCATGACAGGATAATGTCATTCTAAATAGCTGCCTTAAGTGCTTTCAACTTTGAACCTCTGGCAGATTGTTCATTCCTTCATCCAGCTTTATCAGGAAACAGGATTTTTGATATATGCAGTTTACCCTTCAAAGTGTCAGTACCTTTTACTTAAATTATTTAGTGGGGATTGGGGAACAAACCAAAAAACTTCCCACCTTAGCCTAAATGCTCTGAAAGTAATTCGAATTTTTCATAATAGCTTAAGACATCGTTAAACATTCATAATTGTTATTGCTTCAGGATTGTGTAGGGCCATCTTTATAGAGGGCTTCTGCTACAATCTAGGAAGATTACCAAAGGAAAACAAGGCTATTAAATCATTAACCATTTTGCTGTACAATATTGAGTGATTTGGCTTTTAAGGATAATTATATTCTAAGAAAGATTTTTGTTCTTCTTGCAGGCAGTTGAGATTGCTAAAATTATAAGTTTGGGTAAGGGTGGAATCAAAGTAAAGAATATATATAAAGAACAACTGATATTGGCATAGTGCTTTACAGTTTACAGAAAGCTTTTCTGTGTTGTCTTACAACAATCCTATAAAATAGGCAGCTGGTATTTTCTCTACTAGTATTTGATAAAACAATCCTGAGGTCAGGAGAGGTTTACAACCAGTCACTGACAGACTTCAGTGCAAGTCTTGACACTATAAATCACTCTTTCCATTATTCCATATTGCCTAATTCACACTATTAAAAAAAGATAAATTAAATTGATACCTAATTTTGATTTTGGAAATAAGAGGATGAATGGCCAAAATTGAATGACTTTAAAATAACTCAAAAATGTCTGTATGAATCACCAGTGAGTATCTACTGTTACTTTAATCAAATTTCATTTGTTACTTTGAATTTTGGATTCTATGAGGCAGAATAAGTTATAGAGACAGTATAAATTATATAGAAGTAGTTTTCTAATATCATTTGCCTTAGTTCATGAAGCTAGTTAAAGTGTTGCTGTTTCAGTAGGTGAGAAAGCAAAGAGAAAGGTTTTGAATAGGAACTCAGATGTTCTCTTCAAAAATAGAAGAGAGAGAGAGTTTAGGGACTGGATGTGGTATTTTAAAAAAAATAGAAGGAAAAATTAATGTTTTAAAAATAAAAAGAGGGCCTGCTTGACTTGTTTGTAGCTAAAAGATCCTTTTCATAAAAGCACATGCAGTCAACTCCTTGCTTAGGGGAATTTAATAAAAATAGTAACCAATACCATTATTGAGTGCCTACCAATGCCATGCTTGTATTTAAATCATCTCCAATCCTCTTGACAACCTGTCCTCATTTTACAGATGAGAACAATGAGTTTCAGAGAGTAAAAGGAAGTTGTTGCAGGTTACTATAAGTGAAGATAATATCCAAGATCTGTAGTCTTGACTCATTATTTTCACACTTCCAACTCAGGGCCTTGACCTAGACTTTTCATTCTGCCTTGGATGCTTTCCCCTCCACATCTTGCTGATCTTGCTTCCTTATCTCATTTAGGTCTGCCCAAGGGAAATTAAAGGCCTTCTCTAACCACCCTATCTAAAATAGCTCACATACATATCTCCTTCCTCTCATTCTCTTACCCTGTTTTTAATTTATCTTCATAGAATTTATTACCACTGAAAATATTATATTTTTATTTATTGTCTCTCCCCTCTCCCTCCTTACCCCCTCCCAGTGATAATGTAGGCTCCACACAAGGACAAATTTTTTTTTTAAATCTATTTGTTCATTGTTAAATCCCTAATGTTTAGAACAATGCTTGGAATACAGAAGTCTCTTTATTAGGAAGAAAAGATTGAATGAATGAATCATCATTATATCATGAACAGATATTTTGAGAGGCTTTATCATTTGTTCAGCACTGTACTAGATTACTAAGTTCTGCTTAAAGCCTGTGATTTGGATAATCGTTAATGACATTAATTCAGTTTTTAGACTCCAGTTTTTTGGTAGCCAGTTATACCATGCTCATTTCTGCTTTCTTGCCTTCTTTTGTGCCGTTTGTTTTCTTTTAAAACATTTGAAATCTCAACTTTTCAATGGAACTTTAAAACCCACATCTCAAACTACTTTTTACCATTCCTGAAATTTTACAGGATTTATGATTTCAAATATGGTTTTTGCTTAGAGAGGCCTTCCCCAAATACCCTATCTAAAATAGTCTATGCCTATTTGTCTCACTGTATCCTTTTTTCTTCCTAGCACTCATTGCCACCTGACAGTACAATAGATATTATTCACTGATTTATTTGACTGTCTCCCCATTAAAGTAGTTCATGAAGCTAGTTAAAGTGTTGTCAGGAAGTGTTAAAGTAAGGTCAGGAAATTGATATTATTCATCTCTGTATCCTTAGTGCCCAGAACAATGCCTGATTCAGAGGATACAAAATAAAATAAATATTTGTAGGATAAAATAAAGATTGAATAAGAAATACCTATGTTATATGATTTATCTGAATACTTGGTTTGTAATGTCTGTTTGCATCCTGTCACTTAAAGTAAGTGCTTTAATTTCTCTGGCCTTTTTGTTTCTCATCTCTAAAATGAGAATAAAAAAATCTATATCTTATAGAGTTGCTGGTGAGGATTAAGGTACAACATCTGGCATAAGAACTTAGTAAATATTTACTGCTAGTATTAAGTTTTCTATTAATCTTACACTTTATATTGTACCATCTAGCATGGTACATTAAATATATTCAGTAAATATATGTTTTATTATATAAACCTTTCATTTCTTCATAATCTTTGGGCATTTCTTGATTCTTTTGGGATCCCCTATAATTTCTGTTTTCCACTGAGAGTAATCACTTCATAATTATTGGCATAATGATTAAAAACATAAAATTAAGTGCCCTTTTTAGTCAAGAATTCAGACTTAAATTTGGATCTGTAGGTAAATGAGCTTCTAACTTAAAAGTCCCAGGATAACTGGCATCTATTGAATTTAATATTGGGAAAGAAGTAATACTTATAAAAATCACACTATTAAGTTATTGTATCATTTATTTTATCTCAGAAAAAAGTACACTTGGTTATAATGTATTAGTATTGTATTTACTACACATTTACATATTGAGAGGGGGTAAATTTTTAAGATATTTCAAATATTAAAAGTTTTTCCCAGAAATCTTTTTTTCATGTTTTTATTTACCCAGAATAATTGTACTTCCATCTCTTAATTAGGGAGATATGCAAACCGAAATACTTAAATAAGACCTCAGTACGTCCTGGCCTGAAGAACTGTGGGGATGTTAATTGTATTGGACGGATTCATACATACCTCGAATTGATAGGAGCAATCAATTTTGGATGTGGTAAACATAAAAACCCAACAACATCTTTTACTTGACATTTTTATCTTACGGCACCCATTAATTTCTTTGATGGTTAGAATTCAGGTGGATTTAGAGAGATGCTATAACATTTTGGAATAAGTGTATTGGGATTTTAATTAACAGATTTCTGTTGATTAAATTATATTTCCCTTTGACCTACAGTGAAAATTGGTGGAATAATTTTTAAAGGAAATATATGCAGTCTAAGTAGTAGAAATAATTTAAAAATGCAGTTCTTTGTCAAGTAAAAGTAAAATTATTTTATGAAAAGTCTAATAATAGACCATTTAATTTGCAAATATTGTATTCATGCCAGAAATACTGTCTAGCAGTGTTTAAATAAGATAAATAATTTATGAGCCTATACACTTAAGTGTAATAAAAGTGCCAAAATATTTTTCATGGAAGAAAGTTTTTTCATCCTACTTTTTCTCAAATATAAGAGTTAATGAATATGTATATTTTTAAATGTGTTCTACCCCTTTATGAACATGACATAAACTTTTTGAAGAAAGATAATACCATAGTTGCAAAGTGATAAACTAATTAGAACCTTGCAACCCATGGTTTGAGAAGAGTGTTCTGTAGTCTGTCTTTGGAAAGATAACTAACCAGAAAACATCCCATCAGATGGTTTTTCTTTTATATAGAGGTAGATAGAATTTACAGTTTGCCCTGAGGTCTTTGTTTTAGTGGCTTTGTTTGCCCAATGCACTATTAGGACTGGTTTTTCAGGAAAACTAAGGTGTCATAGTTTCCTCAGCCACTAAAAGAAAAATGAAATCATGTTTTCTGTATTAGACTTCCTAAGTTAGCAAAGTGGACTTAATAAAAAAAGTTAAACAAATTACTCATTTCCTAAGTATCACATTTTATTGAGATTTCCTTATAATAAACTATAGTATTACTTTTATGTGAGAACTAAGTGGCACATAAAATATGATTGCGGAGTAGGATAGAAACATTGAAGCTCTGGTATAAAGAAACTTGGAAATTGGCTTACAATATATAGTCAGTGTAGATGTGTCCTCCTTTTTAACAAATGAAAAAATAGATTGTTTTGTTTTCCCTAAATTCCAATAGAACAGGCTGTATATAACAGGCCACAACCAGTTGATAAAGTACGAATCAGAGACAGAAAAGATACAGTAGAAGCATACCAACTTGCCCAGCGTCTGCAATCCATGGTAAGCAGTCACCTCTCTCACTAAATGATCTCTCCAAATCACTCTTCACCCTGTTAAGTAAGGTATGTCTGCTCTTCAACTGCTTGACAAGTGGCCATTTAGTGGAAGAACATGTTTTCTCTTGTATTTTACCTTGCCATTCACTTTACTCTTTCTATTCAATTTCACATAGCTTATAAGACAAAAACAAACAAAAATCCTCAAATTTCATTGGCAACGTTTAAGTGTAATGTTTTGCGAAAGTGGCCTTAGACTGCTTGCTTTGATTCCTAAATCTAACATTTTATTTACACTGTATAGTGAAGCGCTTTTTTTCTCTTTAATTTATTTTTTGTTTGTTTAAAATTCTTACTCTAAGATTTAGCCTTTTGGAATAGTTATCGAAAATATTTTAGCCTTTACTTTTTTAATTCTTGAGGTTAGTGAGTTTTACAATAGTTTAAAAGTCATGAATTTTATTTAAAAAATAATCCAACAAGTATCCTAAAAGGCAGAATCAGGTTGTGAACAAATAAGTAGGTTAAATTAGTAATAGGTGAGATAAAAAGAATAAATACTAGAGTGAGTATCTTTCTTAGAGTATTTGGACTGAAACCAGTTCTACCTAGATTTACTGTAAGAAAGGATGTTTTCAAATATAGTTGCTGGAGATGTTGCTAGTCAGACAGTGACCTCTGGCAAGCTAGTCCATTTAAAGGCTTTACATGGAGTTTGCAAAACTGGATATTAGTAATGCAGTTATCCAACTTTGTAATTTTTTACCATTTGTATTAACTAAGCAATCTTTTCCTTTCTAAGACAAATATAATTATTTTGCTTCTAATTTTCAATATTTTCCCCAAGTTTTCTGCCACCAGTGATAGAACAGGTAGTCATTTTCTTGGGGATTCTTTTGGTCTTAAAATTATATTTCTTAAATGTTTTTATTGATTTTTTAGAGAGAGAAATATCGATGTGAAAGGGAAACATCGATCAGTTGCCTCCCATATGTACTCCGATCGGGATCGAATCTAACCCAAACCTGGGTGTGTGTCCTGACCAGGAATCAAACTGGTACTCTTGAGTGTATGGGATGATGCTCAACCAACTGAGCCACACCTGCCAGGGCAGTCTTAAAAATACTTTTCGTTTGAGTGTTTTAGCTCCCAAATGGTGAAAGGAAATGAAAATTAAAGACGAAATCCCAGAATACAGAAAATCATCACTGTTTTATTTCTGAGTAGAGTGCTAACTATTGAACATAAATTAATAAAATGAAATTTAGTCAGGCATTGCTGATCGGGGATTACAATATATTAATGGAGAAAATGCTTTTTGGAAAATCATTTTTTTTTTTTTAATTAAAATGTGCTGTGATTTCTCCAAGTGAATCTTGTTACCTTTTGCTTTATTTTCACCTCATCACAGCGCACAAGGAGGCGTAGGGTCCGAGACCCATGGGGAAATTGGTGTGATGCAAAAGACTTAGAAGGACAGACGTTTGAGGTAACCTTGACCTTTTCAAATGGCTCATTAGTGAAAGTTGTTTTGTCAGTACATATTTGTATATCTTAATGTCACAAATATTATATTTTAAAAACATATACATATTTGTATGTCTCATTTCCATGTTGTTTTGTCTAGAAGTTACTAATAAACAGCAAAGTAGAAGGGTTTGGTGGTGCAGTTAACTGGGAGTTGGACTCATTTTCAGAACTTTGATTATCTATTTCTACATTCTGCTCTCTAGCAAGAATATTTTCCAGGGTGCCGGGAAGTTGGTATGCCCAGTTCATTTCAGTAAACATTGCTGAATGACATTCTGATACCCAATTAAAATATTGTCCCAAGGATTAGACATAATGCAAATATTGAAGTATTATTTCTACTAATAAAAACTATGGTCCTAAAAAGAAAATAGGCAATGAATGTGTGTATGTATACACCCACACGCATTTTACATATATAATTTGTTTATGAACAGCCAGTGTAGTATAATGGTGTCATGAACAAGGGAGCATCCCCAAAAGGAGCCATTCACACACATTTGTGTCTTTCCACAATGCCAGGTTTATTAGGGAGACCGCCCAATAACCCAGTAGAGTCGCACACAGATTACACAGAGAGGGGGAGCTATAGAAACTAGCAAAGTGAGCACCCTTTTCAAAGTCCTAGCCTCTGGTGGTGTCCCCAGATGGAGAGGCGGGTGTCGGTTTTGAGCTAGGTGGCTACAGTGATGGCACACATCTGGTGAAATGGAAGTCTGGCAGGGCTCTGAGCGAGACCTGTGGTACAGCCAAGCTTAAGTGTTGGGTGATCAGAGCTCTGAGTTCTTACCCACCAGGGGTGGAGGTTCCCCTTTCATATCAGTGAGTTCTTATCCAAGTGTCCAGACTTGTGGTTTTGGCCATCCAGACCCCTCCTCAAACTTGACATACACTTGACATAATTGTCATGGCTGATAGTGACTCCATGTTGGATTGTCAAAGGTGTCCAAAAAGTCCACTCTATACAAATGGAAAATGTGAAAGTAGATAATACCTCCCTCAAACGATTGTTGTGAGAATTCAGTGAAATAAATGAAATAAGGTGTATGAAGGTGATAAATGTTAGTCTGTTCTTTTTTTCACCCGCTCCCTCCCCCTAACCTCACAACTGAGCACAGTTCTAGGCACAACAATTAGTAATCATGTGTTTCCATCGCTTCTCGGCCTTTTGGCTAAGATCATGTGTAATAATACATGGTTCCTGCCTAGAAGTAATTTAGATTAGTAGAGTAGAAAAGATAAAGCCTGTGGTTAGTTCCATAATATTGTTCCCAAAGAAGTATAAGGTCCTCTCAAATGATATGATTGGGAAGTTTTCACAGAGGATGTGATGTTTCATCTGTGGCATGAAGCTAGAGAATCTCAAAATGTAGAATGTAGGTTAGGGCATTCCAGGCTGAGGGAGCAGCACAAATAAAGGTATAGACATGGAAAAATACTAGAAATGTTCTGGGGAAAAGTGCATAGTTCATTGAGGCTAGAGTGTAAGGTTGGTAATAGAAAAGGAATGAAACACTTCTATTTACATAGGACTTAACCATGTATCGACACTATTGTCAGTATTTTACAATCATTAACTAAACTTCACAATAACATCATGACATAGTTATTATTACTGTAGCTGTTCCCATTTTAAATACTGTATAAGGAAACTAAAACGCAGAAAGCTTTAGGAACTTGCCTGGGGTCACTCAGCTAGTAAGTAGCAGATCCAGGCATTTTACCTCCAGAATCAGCTCTTTATCATGACCACTGGGATGTCTCTCAGTTGTGAAAGAAAACTCAATACTTGCTGACTAGAAATGGGAAATAAGAAAGAAGAAAGACTCAGGTGATTCTGAGTTTTTTGACCCAGGGTACCATTAATTAAAATCAGTAAGTCAAGAGAAGGAGTAAATTTTAAGTTTTGTATGGCTATATATTTTGGAACAATTTTTTTAACCACATTATTCAGCATTTCTGTTTATTAGTAACAAGAAGGAGACACACCTATCAACTTTGTCTTGTTCTCACGTGCCCTTAAATATGGTTTTAAAGGAGTATTTTTATTCATTCTACCTCTCAATGGTTAATGGATCCATGATCGACTGGTGTTTTATATTTTAGCATCTCTCTGCTGAGGAGTTGGCAAGAAGAAGAGAAGAGGAAAAATGCAAACCTATTAAATCTTCAAAAGTGCAAAGACCAACAAAAAGGTATATAAATGTGATTCTTTAACTTATCATAAATGATTAGAAAGTGCACAGAAAAATATTTGAAATAGTTGCATTGTATTGTTCACATTAAGTGAAAAAATACATGTAAAAATTTTGAAATTTTTTATTTCATTGCTTATCAATTTGGGACACCTGGAGCACAAGTTTTAAATTTGTTCAGGTTCAGTGAATGTAACCTATCTTGAAAAGGGGACTTGTTTATGACAGATGGTCATTTAACTCAGAAATTATGAATAGACAACCTCATGAAGTAACTGGTTCTCTCTTTGGCTGGTGCTGATTGTTAGCAATGCAGTTTTTGTTCATTTATAATCTAAAATTTGTAACTTGTAACATTAAGGGTCACCAGGTGAGTTCCATGTGTTGATTTTCTAGACCCCTCACTTTGTGCAGATGCCCCATTGAATGGACTATAGTTTTGTCAGTGTCCCTTTTAAAACAAGACATTCAAGCCCTGGCCAGTGTACCTAACTGGTTAGACCATAGGCCCATGCACCAAAGGGTCACGGGTTCGAATGTTAGTCAAGGTCACAAGGCCGCATACTTGGGTTCAGGTTCACTCCTCAGTCCTTGGAGTGCATGTGGGAGACAATCAATCGATGTGTCTCTCTCACATCGTCTCTCTCTCTTCTCCTCTCCCTTTCCCTCTCTCCATCTACCTCTCTCCTCTCTCCCTCCCTCCCTCCCTCCACTACTCCTCTCCTCCCTCCCTAACTTTCACTCTCTCTAAAAATCAATGGAAAAATCCACTGGTGAAAATTACTAAAAAAAAAAACACCATAAAAGACAAAGAAAACACAACATCCAAGAATGCCACTAGGTCATTTTTGAAGGAAAGAGCCCTGATACTTACCAGTTGTAATGTCCCTGGGTAAATTACTTAAAGCCTTTATAAGCCTTAGGTCCTCATTTATAAAATAACTGTAATAGCTAACACTGTTAGTTATGTTTTAAGCACTTAATGACATTAACTCACTTAATCCTCATACCAACTCTATGCAGTAGTTAATATCATTCCCATTTTATAGCTAAGGAAACTGAGAAGCACAAAGTATTTGGAGTAACTTATACTTGTTACTGATGAGGCTATGATTTAAACTCAGGCATTAAGGCTTAAGCATCCATACTCCTGACCATTACACTACAGTATATGTCAAGTTATAGTTGTGGGAATAAATTATATGAGATAAACTGTAAGAAATATAGTCATCCATAACCTAGAACTTTTCATCTAGTAATCCAGACAATCTAAATGTGAGACTTCTATTTATTATGATTATCAAGTCATTGTTCCAGTTTGTCAGGATTTTTAAATCCAGATCCACTTTTTTGTTGTTAATCCTCACCCAAGGATATTTTTCCATTGATTTTTAGAGAGAGTGGAAGGGAGGGGGAGAGACAGAGAGAGAGAATAATTGATGTGAGAGAGACACATCGATTGGTTGCCTCTCGCATGTGGCCCTGGTGCCCCGACCAGGGCCAGGATGGAGCCTGCAACCCAGGTATTTGCCCTGGACCGGAATTGAACTAGGGACCCTTCAGTCCGCTGGCCTACGCTCTACCTACTAAGCCAAACCGGCTAGGGCAGATCCACTTTTCTTATAATAGCCTCTGTAATTTTGAATCATCAACATGTCAGTATGCTTGCTTTTTCCACCATTGATCACTGATTAAAATATTTCCCTGGGATAAACATAAACTTCAGCATTATTGTTTAATCAGTTAGGTACTACAGTTAACCCATATTTCTTCATCTATGCAGAGAAGTAATGATAGCAGATCCTTCCTATCAAAAATGAAATATAGGTCTACTTATCACAACTTCTATTTTCACGAACCCATTATTATCCTTAGTAGTCACCTTTTCACTTGCTAAAGGCTCACTAATCAGCTATTTAAAAATCTTTTCTAGAATTTTTCTAATATTCAACATCTGATTCCTCTGTTTCTAAAGTCTGCTTATTTTGTGTTTTGAAATAAGACCAATAATTGCCTATTCCAAGGCTTCCAATAATTTTCACATTCTCTGCAACTCCTCAAAAAACATGGACAGTGATTTCACATCATGGTTCTTCAGTGCTCTGGGATGCATATGTGCTCTTGCTATTTTCTCATCTATCTTGACCTTTAGTTTCTTTTTATTCATGTTCATAAAGCATTTTCTAATTTGAAAATTGTTCTTTTTTCAATAAATGTTTTTTGGATACCTACAATATGTCAGGCACTGTTCTAGGCCCTTGGAATGCAGTATTCAACAAACAAGGTACAGTATGTGTTCTCCTGGAGCTAATAGTCTCAGGTAGAATAGGAACAAAATAGTTTCACTCTTTTTCAGTTGTGTTAACATGAACATATTCTTTGTTTATCTGAACGTAGAGAAACTTTTCATTCTTTTTTAAAAAAATATATTTTTATTCATTTCAGAGAGGAAGTGGGGAGAGGGAGAGAGAATAGAAACATCAGTGATGAAAGAGAACCATTGATTGGCTGCCTCCTGCATGCCCCCACTGGGGATCGAACCCACAACCCAGGCATGTGCCCTTGACCGGAATCGAACCTGGGATCCTGCAGTCCAGTGCTCTGTCCACTAAGCCAAACCGGCTAGGGCAAAACCTTTTCATTCTTAATATATTTCTCAGATCTCAATTCTTTACTGGCCAAAGCCTTTCTAACATTTCTCTTCGATTGGTTAACATATGCCTTTGTATCTGGACTTGCTTAGGTGCCCCTCTTCCCATCTTTTTTTTTTTTTTTTGCACTTTTTCATTTTAAAGTATTAGTTTATTATAGAACTTTCTGTATACATTCATTTCTTTAGCAGAACTGTTTGTCATTTATTCATTCAACAAATATTGAGTCCCTACTCTATGCTGGCCATATTATTATACGGACAGAAATGTTTTTGAGAAACTTCCATTTTTTTTTTTTTTATTAAATCTTTATTGTTCAGATTACATTTGTTCCTCTTTCCCCCCTCCCCCCCATAACTCCCCTCCTTCCAGTTCCCGCCCCACCCTCCGCCCTCACTCCCCACCCACTGTCCTCATCCATAGGTGCACGATTTTTGTCCAGTCTCTTCCCGCATCTCCCATTCCCCTTTCCCCCCCAAGAATAGTCAGTCCATTCCCTTTCTATGTCCCTGATTCATTATAATCACCAGTTCATTCTGTACATCAGATTATTTATTCACTTGATTCTTAGATTCACTTGTTGATAGATGCATGTTTGTTGTTCACAATTTGTATCTTTACCTTTTTCTTCTTCCTCTTCTTAAAGGATACCGTTCAGCATTTCGTATAATACTGGTTTAGTGGTGATGAACTCCTTTAGCTTTTCCTTATCTGTGAAGCTCTTTATCTGACCTTCAATTCTGAATGATAGCTTTGCTGGATAAAGTAATCTTGGTTGTAGGTTCTTGGTATTCATCACTTTGAATATTTCTTGCCATTCCCTTCTGGCCTGCAAAGGAGAAACTTCCATCTTTGTTGACATTTCTTTCAGGTCTCATGTCAGGAAATTGGTTAAATCTTCATTGAACTTTTTGAAATCTGCTTTCAGTCTAGGATACATATCTGACCATTTTTAATGTTCTCTTCTCTTCTTTGGATATTTAAAGAAATTAGGATAACAGAATTACTTTCTCCTATAAGTCCTGTCATTCCCTCTCCCTCCCTCCGCCCCCCGCCTTTTTAAAAATCAAGTCCAAAAGAGCAGTGCTGCTTTCAGAAGGGTTGTATGGAACATTTTAAGAAAATTTCCTTGTTTAATATTTTTCTCTCTTAGACAGTAGGTTTTAATTTATGATACACATTTTCAAATTTGTAAATGTTATTTTCCTAATCTTGTTGAGATTATATTAGAAATAAATGTTTTTCTTCTTTTTCAGCTCATTTGATCCCTTCCAACTGATACCTTGTAATTTTTTCAGTGAAGAAAAGCAGGTACTACTTATGCATCACTGAATGACCATACATAATGCCCTCCCGTCAGACATGAAATACTTCTTCAGTGTGTGCAAGGCATATATATGTATAAAAATAATAGTGGGCAAGGCCGGGTATATTAAAGGTTAGATGAGTACTACAGATGGAAAATGAGAGGGTTTTAAATGGTAAATTGTTTTTGAAGTTTGGTTCTCACTGAGCTTTGATTGGTAGTGAGACCTTGGTATGATAGGTGATAGGTAAAGGAAAAGAGGGTGGACATTCCAGTGAGAGAGAACAGATCTCTATTTTTATGCTTCCCCATTTTTGTTGTGTGTTTTTTGTATTTCAGGAGCCATTTCAGGTGAAAGTGGCTTCAGAAGCACTTTTAATAATGGATTTGGTAAGGATAATCTATTGTGTTTACTTAGTTATTCTGATTTGTATTCTTGTGTATTTTTATTGCAGGCATAAGAGAGAGTATGGAAGACCTGTATTTTGGATCTTAACTATCCTCTTTTACAAGGAATCTAAAACTAAGTCTTTTCTTTTGGAGAAAAGCCAAACAATTGCATGTTTCCATATTTTAGAGAAAATAAATTAATGTGAGTTTTTGCAGACTGTTTATCATCATTAACCCTGTTTTCATTTCCTAGTGTCCTTTGCTGCCTTCTAGATAACTACAACAAAACAATACTCAGATTTTGGAGTTGCTTTGTACTAAACTACTGAGACTCCATAGTTGTGTGTTTGTTTATGGTCTTTTCCTGTAGGATGTTCCAGAGTAACTTTTTACTTTGTATCCTTATATCTTTCCTAAATAGGGAGAGCAAATGGTATCTTTATTTTGTAAGTGAAAAAGTAACATCATGGAGTGTTTGAATGCTTGGTTCAAAGCTTTGCAGACTGCAGTGCAGATAGGTCTGAAATCTAAGTCTCTGTGCTCTGAGCCCAGCATCTAGTTCCTCTAGCATACTACTTTATATTAGAAATGCATAAGTGAGTTTTATTCTGACATTTTTGTCTGGTGATTTGTTTGGGCTAAGTCTGTCTTGTATTTCTTTCAGCATGCTCATGTGTCTATGGCAGAAGTGATTGGTCTCTTAGGAGGAAGATACTCAGAAATTGATAAGATAGTCGAAGTAAGTTCTCAATTTTAAAGACTTTAAAAGATTTTGTCCTACTGCCATACCAAATATTTTTATAGATTTCAGTGACTTCACATATGATGTGAATGAGAACATACAAATGTAGAAAGTTATGTATTCCCAAAAGTGACTTAACATTCCATCTATTGAGTCCCTGTTTATGTTCCTTTACCACTGAGAAAGAGGGAACACTCTGCCAGGCCTTAGTTCCTCATTGCCTTCACCAATAAAAAGGTATAATCCCTACGAGGCCAGGAAGCATGTGGAACCTTATAGTTGAAACTTGGTGTGCATCATTCTGTTGAAATTATTATCATAAATAATAGGGGTCACTGAAAGAGTATATTGGTACAGGTATTACATGGGCTGACCTGAAAATTAACAATTATTATGACCTTGTTTAATAGAAAGTGGATTCTGAGGTCCTAGCATACAATCACATTTTTGGAGTATAATTCATTTGCAAGTTAAAGGCTGCCTATGATTGTAATCAAGTAAAAGGCTTGGCTTTAAAATGTTTCTGTGTCTATGTGAAAGAAGTAAAACATTTAAGTAGTAGAATTAACAGAATTTCAGTGTAATCATACAAGTTTTAATCCTTTTTAGGTCTGTGCAGCAGAACCATGTAACAGTCTGAGTACAGGACTGCAGTGTGAGATGGACCCTGTCTCACAAACACAGGCCTCGGAAGCCTTGGCTGTCAGAGGCTACAGTGTTATTGGCTGGTACCATTCTCATCCTGCCTTTGATCCCAACCCTTCCCTACGAGATATTGATACCCAAGCCAAATACCAGGTGTGTTATGGGTCTTATGTGTATGCATTCTGTAAATGATTGCAGATTCTCCCCGTCATTGCTTTCTAGTACATAAATGTACTTTTAAGGTTCCTAGCGAAGTATTGCGTTTCTGATGTATTTTACATCTGGAGTATTTAAATAACTTGCATTTTTTTCTGATTACAAGAGTAATACATGTTTATTTAAATTTTGGAAAATGAGCTATTTTGTTTAATACAGACAAGCCATCAAAGTAACAGTGATAATTATTCCCAGAGCCTTAAAATTTTTTTTTTCTTAGAGCAGTGTACTAGTCAACTAACTTTGATCCAATTAACTAAATTTGATTTAATTGGATCAACTTCTGGCTAATCACGTGCCCCCGCCCCCCTGATCAAGTGCCCTCTTCCGGCTCATCATGTGGCCCCACCCCCTTGAGACCTTGGATAGTCTCTGTTTCTGGGGTGCCATCTCCCTGGTTGGCTGTCTGGCCCTGCTCTCCCACCTGTCAACAGTGCCTTTGCCAAAGTACTTCCAGAAAATCGTTTGTGTGTACTGTCTTTTTTTTCTTTCTGCTGGGACTGTGACAACTGGTATTGAAAAGGAGAGAGGAGAGCAGTGGCCCGTCTAGGGTCCATGCAAGAGGTCCAGAGCGGCCTGTGCAGTCCCTGGAAGGCTGCGGGAGGGAAGGGTGGTGAGGCAGGGGTGCTGACTAGTGAGTAGGAAGCCCTCAGGGCAAGTGGGGCACACACACAATCACCCCACACTCCTCTGAGAGGAGCAGCTGTGGCCCATTGTACAGGTGAGGCTACTGCAGCCCAGAGAGGGTGAGTGACTTCCTCGAGGGCAGCCGGCAGTAAAAGGGCAGAGCTAAAATTGGAACCCTCCGGTAGCCCACATCCTATGTCTCCTTTACCTATGACCTCTGGGTAAGCGGCCCCTCACCCTGTGGCCATTTGCTCTGATGGGCTTCCCCCTTTCCCCCATCCCCTCTACTCTACCCCCAGGGGACAGAGGTCCTGTCATTGCACCTGTGCCTCTGGGCAGCTGCTCTCTTTGACCCTGAGTCACTCCCAGCTGGTAACCTTGGTGGAGTCTGGCTGCACGGGGGTGAGGGTCTTATGTGGAGAACGCCCCACCTTCCCTCACCTTCTGTGGCTTAGATTACAAAGTACCTTTATTTTTCCTTTGGCTTCTGCCACCTGCCTCCACTGGCAGATTTTGTTTTACTAGTACATCGAAAAGAAATGGATTCAGGGTCTCCAAACCGGCTGACTTCCTGCATTTGCTCAGTGAGACGTGGCTCTGCCCCCAGAGCCTTTAAAAATTGATGGGAACAATTAGGACAGGGACTGGGAATAATTGAAATAATCAGAAACATATATTTTGCATCTCTGAGAAATACAAAGTTTTATTTTATTCTGCAATTTTATGCTTTTGCTGTAGGCAGCTGTTTGTAAATTATTACCATATTGAGAAAGAATATAGCTGATGGGTTGTGAATATAATTAGTAAATATATTCACGGCAAATAAAGTTTTTTTTTAAGGTTGGGCTGAACACATTTGGCCTGAAAACTTTAGTGTGGTATGACTATAGAAGACATTTCATTTAGTTGCTCTTTGGATCTGAATTTTTAACACACCTTTTTGTTTAAAATGTTGGTATGGATAAATACTGACTTTTAAATTTATGTAGTTCAAACTAATTGTACTTTACCTTTCATTGTAGAGTTACTTCTCCAGAGGTGGTGCCAAGTTCATTGGAATGATTGTTAGTCCCTATAATCGAAACAATCCTTTACCATATTCCCAGATTACCTGTCTGGTTATAAGTGATGAAATTAGCCCTGATGGCTCTTATCGTAAGTTTTCAACAAAAACAACTTCACCCTATTTCTATCTTTACTTCTTAGAATTCTACAAATCAAAGAATTTACAATTATGTGAATCTAGGTGCCTTGCACCTGGGAAATGACCCCCACTCTGTCGATTTTTGTAGAATGAATAGTATTGACATTAACTTCATTCAAAATGCACATAGAACATATATACATCATTCTTTAGCCAGTATAATTGTACAAAACGTTAAAAAGGAAGAATCACAGTTAATTTGTTCTCAATTTAGATAACTTATTAATCTCACAATCTGGATTTTGGGAGTGAACCTCTACTCTGATGCTGCTCAATACAGTAGCTACTGGCCACATAGAGCTATTTAAATTAATTAGAATTAAATGACCCAAAACTGGACAAAATAGTGAGCCCCAAATTAACCAAACTTACTAACTTGGAAGAATTTCCAGGCATGGCACAAGGAGGAGAAACCCACCCAGAGCTAGGCTGACTCTGAGTTGAGGTGATGGAGGTGAGACCAAGGCAGCTAAATTTACAGGACAGAGGGACAGAGATCAGAAGATCACATAGATTGTAGAAGGTACAAATTTAGTACTTACCAAGAAATGGACCAGCATAAGCATGTGAAGAAACTACAGCAGATGGGAGAGAGAATCACTTGAAAGGATTAGAGGGAACAGTGCTGGATGTTCACATAAGACAGTGCACAAGCATTCAACATTAGTGGAAAGTTCTGTTGGACAGAACTGCTTCTTAAATGGCTTGGCCATTCAACATTAGTGGAAAGTTCTGTTGGACAGAACTGCTTCTTAAATGGCTTGGCCATTATTAACACTGCTTATTAGGTTTCTAGAAGCCATGGGATACCTTATATTTTGGTACTTTTACTGGCTCTTTCTCCCTTCTTCCTTCTTTCCCCCTCTCTCTGTCTATGGTACTTTTACTGGCTCTTTCTCCCTTCTTCCTTCTTTCCCCCTCTCTCTGTCTATCTCTATTTCTTTCTCTCTCTCTCTCTCTCTCCCTCTCCCTCTCCCTCTCCCTCTCCCTCTCTCTCATATATCCAAATTCTATTTTTAAATGTCTCTACTGGTTAAGCATTTTCTGTACTTCTAATAAGCAGGATATATACTTAGTGATTAGTTTTCTTCTGGTTTTTAGTGGATTCAAAAGGAATTTTTTTGCTGGTTTTAGTGCCTTTTTTAACTTACAAAAATATTCTTAATACTAAATAGAGCTGTATATAGTGTGTGTGTGTGTGTGTGTGCCTACTTATCATTTTCCATCAGCACAGACTGAAAATGCATTTATTTATCTCTCTTTATACTCATTTTTTACTTTCATTAGGAGTAGGAGCTTTTCACTTGGATTCAGATCCCAGCTCTGGCATTTGTGGTTATTTTACTTTGGTTAGATTACTTTACCTCTTTCATTCTTCTTTGCCACATCCATAAAGTGAGAAAAAATTATTACCTTGCTTATAGGGAGTTGTAAAAGTTGTCAATAATGTGTGTAAAGTGCTTAGCAAATACTAGGGTCTTCAATAGATAGTTATAATTATAGCCATTGCCTGCGCTTAGTAGGGAATCAATGCATATCAAGTGAATGATGATCACCAAAGGGAGTTTGCTTAAAGGAGTCACTCTTCTTAAATTTTTGGAGGTGAGAAATGTAATGGAGGAGAATTGAGGAATGAAAAAAAGATAATTATCATCAAGTCCGCTGTTCCCTCCTTCCATACACATGGAAAAAAAATGGGGGAAGTATAGTCATATTTTTTTTTCTTATGCCTTCTGATTTGCTGGCTTTTATTTACTTGAAGAGCCTTATGATGTCAAAAACCCAGTTGAGAGGCAGTATAAATGGAAGGGTTAAGAACATAAGCTCGAGATAGAATGCCTGGGCTCAAGTTCTGGCTCTACCTCTTACTGGTTATATATGTCCATGAACATGTTATTTAATCTCTCTGTGGCTCAGTGTTCTCATTAAAAAAAAAAAAAAAAAAAGAGCCAGGCTGGTGTTTCTCAGTAGTTAACTGTCCACCTGTGAGCCAGTAGGTCATGGTTCGATTCCTGGTCTGGGCACATGCCCAGGTTGCAGGCTTGATCCCCAGTGTGGGGTGGGCAGGAGGCAGCCAATCAGTGATTTTTTTTCTCATCATTGATGTTTCTGTCTCTCTCTCTCCCTCTCCCTTCCTCTCTGAAATCAATAAAAATATATTTAAAAAAACACACACACACACACAAAGAAATCAGGCAAACATGGTAAGTTTTAAAATCCAATTTCTTCCACTTTACTAGTCTGAACAGGTTGTTTAACCTTTGTCAGCCTCAGTTTTCTTATCTGTTAAATAGGAATAATGGTACCTACCTTATAACATTGTTGTAAACCTTAATATAACCTGTATTTAAAAAATCACTAGAATGGTATATGTCTTGGTTTGCTTAGATTAGGCTCAGTTTAAGACTATTGTCATTCTGGCTCAATTCTTAGTAATGCCCCCTTTCACTCAAAAAGTCTCTTGTTTTAAGTAATAAATTATGTGATCATTTTACCTCTCACAATTCCTTGCATAGAATTGTCATGCAAATAGCACTTTTCTTTATTATTATTATTAATTGCTTGGCATTAATATGCTTGGTGAACTAAGTTCAGCAAGGCAGTAAATATTTAATGGCGGCTCACTATGTTGAAGTGCTGTTCAGCTGGTCTGCAAAGCTATGGTTGTGAAAACAGTGAAGGGATTTTAAGTAATTAAAAGGAGATTGGAAGAAGTCCAATGCGCTATCAGAAAAGATAAAATAAAGTATAAATATATAAATAGGGAAAAGGAAATTGAAGATTTAAGAAATAGTTGATTAAAATGTGCTTCTTTCTGCTTTTCTAGGTGTACCTTATAAATTCGAAGTACAGCAGATGTTAGAAGAACCTCAGTGGGGATTAGTGTTTGAAAAGACAAGATGGATAATAGAAAAATACAGGCTCTCCCATAGGTATGTGCTGTGATTTGAGATGGTTGCATATCTGCAGCATTTCTCATTAAATTATGTTTTAGAGAAAACCCAAATTAAATGTAAAATTGTGATGTATGGCATCAGGGATAGTTTATTGCAGAACTGATTAGTTTATAGTACTTGTTTCATCACTCTGTTTTCCTGTTTTTTACAACAGCAGTGTCCCTATGGATAAAATTTTTCGCCGGGATTCTGACCTGACTTGTTTGCAGAAAGTAAGCTGCCTTCATTTTAATTGGCTCCTTTGTTTGAGGATTCTAAAGCTATTTATCTCAATGTGTTTTCCCATGATGCCTAATGCTTTGTGGATACATTTTCTGTTTCTTTTATTGCTTTTTTTCTTTTTAAAATTAATTTCTAGGAGATAATTAGTAATACATTTTGTTGTCCACACTTGCATATAGAAATAATACTATTTTAGAATAAATTTGTCAGTGTTAGTTGATAAATTTCTTAGCATATTATTGTACATAATAGAGAACATTTTTCTCATTTTATTAAATTCAAAAGCACCATGTTTCCATTTAGCTTTAACAATTGATCATTTTGAAGAATGGTATTATAAATCTAACAATTAAATTTAAATGGTCATCTTACTTAACTTCCTGGTAGGATATAAGAGTCCTGAATTCTTTTATTTCACTTCTAAGTTTGTTTATGAGTGTAATGGATTAAGACCAGTAGAGTGGCAACATTTCTCTCTATCTCTTTTTTTTGGTAGCAGTTTGGAAATAGAAAATGTAAACCTGCTGTTTCTTTTATATTTTTACCCCCTTCTATTATAACCACTTTATCTGTGCTTTGTTGTAAGATTAATATGCACCTTTCCCAGGAAATAGACTGCAGCATCCTAATTTTGAAATGGTAGAGTCCTGTGTTTGTATTTACATAGATTTTTTTTATCTTATCTGAGTTTTTAAAAAAATTTATTTTTATTGATTTCAGAGAGAGGGAGAAAGAGAGAGAGAAACATTGATCCATTGGCTGCCTCCCGGGCATGTGCCCAGACTGGGAATCAAGCCAGCAGCCTCCTGCTGCATGGGGCAGCGCTCAACCAACTGAGCCACATGGGCCAGGCTGGATATTTTGTTTTGTAATGTAGCTACTAAGAAAAGGAGCACAGGCCCTGGCTGGGTGGCTCTCAGTTGGTTGTAGCATCATCCTGTGCACAAGAGGTTGCAGGTTCTGTTCCTGGTCAGGGCATATACCTAGGTTGCGGGTTCAGTCCCCTCTTGGAGCACATGTCGGAGGCAGCTGGTTGATGTTTCTCTCTTAAATCTATGTTTTTCTCTCTCTCTCTACCTCTCTTTAAATAACAATAAAAACATATCCTCAGATGAGGATTAAAAAAAAAAAGGAGCACAGTCACAAATTTGTCCAAAGTAGAAAGCATCACATATGCACATACAATATCAAGTGTGTTTCCTTATATAAATAATAAAGGAACTAACCTAAGCAGTCAACAGTGGCTTCCTATACTCCTGCTGCACGGTTACTGTGCACAGTTTATCGTCAGCCATATGTAAGAAGAATGTTTCTCATTTGAGCATTAGAAAATGTGAGATTTATCATTAAATAAGGATAATAATATAAACCTTATATTTTTCGTGTGTTTAAATGTAAAACTTTTCTTTTCAACTAGCTTTTGGAGTGTCTGAGGAAAACTCTGAGCAAAGTGACAAATCGCTTCATCGCTGAAGAATTCTTGACTCAAATAGAAAATTTATTCCTTTCCAGTTATAAAAGCATGCAGGAGAATGGAGTGGGTGAAGACAACTGTACTGCAGGTCCAAAGGAATTGTTAATGTAGTGATTTTAAAGTAAGACATTTTAATCTTGACGCAATAGGTCCCACTGCCATTTACAACCTTGAATGATTGTAATTTAGTTAACAGTGACACAGCTTTGATACTTTTCTCTAGTTCACAAAATCGGAACTTTGCCACATAAATCATGTGACAGAAAGAGATAGGGACTTGTTTTTATGTAGTGAGTACCAGAGTTTGTGTAAATGGGTTTGCCATATTGCTCCTGTCCTGTGAGCAGTGGCCCGCAAGCAGAGCAGCAGACTGAAGGGCTGTCTGCTTTACTGTTGTATTCAGGTTGATAAGCAGAATGTGTCTCTAATTTTTATTTCTCCCTGAACTAGTCATTCCATTTTTGGGATCTCATGTCTCATTAGGAGCACTTCCATCCTTTCCATGTGTTTTGGTGAGATTTGTTTATGGTTGCAAATGAGATATGGATGGGTGGTCCCAGAGGTAATTAACGTGGTTGAAAATTACTGATTCAATAAATCTAACAACATGCTATGTGAGGCCGGGGGGGGGGGGGGGGGGGCGGCTAAGGAAAAAATCTTAAAAATAGGGAAGAGGCCCAAAGGAGAGAATCAAATTATCAGTTTTTTAATTATAGATATTTGCTTCCATTTTTTTATAACCACAATACTAAAGAATAAGCCATTTCCTCAGCTCTCTGAAACATTTTGTATGGATTTCAGATATATAAAATAATTAGCTTCAATTATAGGTCCACACATTAGTGTGTATGTGATAAAACCTCATTTAACTGCAACACAGATAATCATAACCCTCAAACTAGATTCTTTTTCTACTACCTGCTGTCAGTAGAAAGAGGCAAATTACAATAAAGCTTAAATAAATCAGAGATTTACTTTTAAAAACAAAAAAGCCTTCTAGGACATATTACATATGCAACCCAATTTCATATACTTTTTGAATGTAGACCAGAAGTCAGCAAACTTTTTATGTAAAGGAACTGTTAGTTAATAACTTAGGCTTTGCTGGACACATACTGTCTCTATCAGACATTCTTTATATTTTTTTACAACCCTTTAAAAATGTAAAGCCATTCTTAGCTCATAAGCCTCACAAAAAAACACTGCTGGTCATTACCTTCCAACCCCTGCTCTAGAGAATTGCAGATAATTAGGATTTCTTTTTAGATGCATGAGCTTAAGACACTGAAAGATCTTGCATCATTTTCAAACAAATAAAACTCAAAATTGTGATTTACATTTAAGTACATTTTTTTAAAAAAACCTAACAATCATGCTGCCTGATTTATCCTAATTGTAGTTTATTTCTATTAACCATCAAATTTATATTCATTCTTCAACATTCTTATTAATAACAGATTTATTATGTCTAATCTGGGTATGATCCTGTATTTTTACCTTTTTGGTTATAATCAGTAGCCAAGGAAGAATAAGGCAGTACTGGAAGGAGCAGTGAGCCAGTTTTAGATGACCTGGGTCTTGATTCAACTTTGTAATTTTAGAGGATAAGCTTACTAACTTCTTTAGGCCTAAATTCCTGTACATCTGAGGTCTGAGTTATCTTCCTGACATCCCTCCAGGTCTGAAATCATACACTTCATTCTAATTGTTGGACTACTCACCTGGGACTTGATATTTTGAGATGGTATAGTTCCAAAATTAGCAAATGTTTTTAAAGAAAACTGGTAGTATTTTCTATTTCTCTATATGCATTTAGAATAAACAATGAAACATAACATAAAAAGCAATTACTTTGGGGACTGGGGGTGTAAGCTCTAGACCAAAAATCAGGAAACTTAAGAGTTCTTACCCTAATTCTTTTATCAGCTTTGCTGTGTGACCGTGATAAAATCACATAACCTGTCTGGACCTCAGGTTCTTCATCTAGAATTCAAGGGTCTGAATTTTATGATTTTAGTATTTCTTTCCAAGTGCAGAAAAATCTGTGATTCTGTGAAGGGTAGTAATTCATTTCTTTGTACTCTTCCTTTTGACATATTTTCCTCATTGTACATTAGAAAAATGGTATTAGTTAGCCTTTGTGATCGACAGTCCCCAAATTTATATTGATAAATTTGGGTGATAGAAAATTGTGGAAATTGTTAGAAGCTCTGTTCTCCAATCTGGGTCCTCTGCATGCCAGTGGTTAACTATATTTACTAAGCCATACTGTGAGGAATGCAAAGGTGGTAATCCTCAGCATTTAGAGCTTTGAGAGCACAATTTTTTAACTTAAATATTTTTAAAAAACAAAAGAAAATATTCTATCTAGAAAACCACATCCTTCCCCATTTTTTTTTTTTTTTGGATAGTGTACTTTTAGAACTTTAAAAGCAGTGATATTTCCTCTCCTCCTCCCTCATTCCTTTTCTTGCATATTCTTAAAACGTTTTTGTAGCTGGAGGTACCCACATTTCTGTCACTGCCAACCTTGGGCTGTGAGGGTAGTTGAAGCAGGCAGGTCCTTGGAGAAACAGAAGAAATTTAGAACTGAATGGCAGTGTAGTACAGGAAGCTCAGGAGGCAGGGTCTTAAAGGGAAATCTGTCTCTCATAATGTGTACAGTATTGGAGAGAGGACTTGAAAACATCCAAGTCTCTTCAAATGAACTTAATTTTTTTCTTCTAGCTTGGCTATAGAAATTGACACTAGTACTTCACCAGTGTTAGATTTACCTCTCTTGAAAAATCTAATCCCAAAGTAATGTTAAAAAAAAAAATCAGTGGAATAAGATCAGACTCTCCTTCCCTCTCCATTACTCTAGTATTGGTCCATTGGCCCTATATTCAGAGCTACCTTATGACTATCACAGGGCCTAAGACACTTTTGTCTTCTTGGACCTCTTCCATTAAAAATCCTATATAATAAAAGCCTAATATGCTAAGTGTCTGGTCATCCAGTGGTCCGTTCAGCCAGTCAAAGCGTATTATGCTAATGATATGCTAAGGCTGCTCAACCACTCACTATGATGTACACTGACCACCAGGGGGCAGACGCTCTGACCGGTAGGTTAGCTTGCTGCTGGGGTCCGGCCTATTGGGACTGAGCGAGACTGGCTGGACATGCCCTGGAGCCCTCCCACGGTCCCTCCCTGGCTGGCTAACCTCCTGCGTCCCTCCCCGGCCCCAGTCATGCACCAGTGGGGTCCCTTGGCCTGGCCTGCACCCTCTCATAATCCAGGACCCCTTGTGGGATATCGGAGAGTCAGTTTCGGCCTGATCCCACAGGCCAGGCCAAGGGACCCCACGGGTGCACGAATTCGTGCACCTGGTCTCTAGTACATTATAATTGCATTTGCATAAAATGAATTTATAATCTGTAGTTTTGAAACTCATCCACACATCCTACCAACTTCTCCCTTCATTTCCCTCAAGCCCTTTCTTCATCCTCACTCTACTTCTGACCTGTCAGCATTTAGGTACGAGGTCATTCATTCTATCATTTGTTGAAAGCAGGACCTGAAAAATAGAGATGAACAGACACATTCATATTTCCCAGAAGTTGATTAATGCTGCCCCAGCCTTCTCTCTCTAACTTGCCTCCCCCACAGGAGTGGTGGGGTTTGTGACGTGCAGCCTGCAAGCAGGGTCAGAGGACCTCTGCAGCTCTCTGGGTAGCAGAGGAAACTAGGGCCTCAACATGCCAATCTGAGCAGGTCTTCTGTTCTTCAGTTTACCTGCTTCCTGTTTCATGCTGGGTCCTAACAAGGTGAGCTAGAGGAACTGAGGAACTGATCTAGTCTGGGTGTCCTAGGATTGATGCTTTGTCCTGTACCTAAATAAGAGCCATATGACATTTGAATACCTGAAAGGTAGCTCCCTGTGCTCAAGTCATCAGCAGATATCCACTTGATGTTTTTCTCAGTAAAAATGAAGTCAGGATACCCACATTTTGTGGGTGTGGTTTTTTTTTACACTTTTTTTAAATAGCTAGAGCTTAAATCTAGAATCACACATATCATGGCAGTTAGGAAAACTTCACTTATGCACAAAGGAAAAAGCACATTTTTATCAGCATCTGCTCCATCAGTGTTCATACGCATGTAACACATTTGATCTGCATCTCCAGTTCTCCAGTAGTTTAATAACTTTCTTGTAAATTAATACCAGATTTTGCAATATTTCCAAAAAATCACTATGGAGAATAATGTAATATATTTAATTCCTGACCTTTCCTTGAGTGGTTTTATGTGTGCTGTTTCCCCAAACTGTTTATTCTGGGTGTTTTTTTATTTTTGTTTTCATTTAACCTGTAATTTGTGCTTTCTGCTGTTTTCCAAGGTTTTTTTTAAATATGTTTTTATTGATTTTAGAGAGGGAGGGAAAAGGAGAGAGATAGAAACATTGGTTAGAGAGAAACATCAACCAGCTGTCTCCTGCACGCCTCCTAATGGGGATCAAGCCTGCAACCCAGGCATGTGTCCTGACAGGCAATCAGACCAGTGAGCTCTCGGTGCACGGGTCCACACTCAACCACGGAGCCACTCTGGCCAGGCATCCGATCTTTTAAGTCATCTTAAATCCTTTCTGGAACAAGACAGAGAACACATATGGTCTCCCCCTAATTAATTAACTTATGACATCTTGTTTTTATTTTCTTTGAATATTACTTAGGAACTTATTCATAAGGACTTTAATTTTAGGGGAAAATGCCTGATTTGCTATCTTTGAAAATTCCTAAAGTAGTCTCTTAGGAATTAAGAAGGATGTTAAATATGATTTCATAGTTTATGTTCCTCTTTCATAGGGTACAAAAGAATATTTGTTTCAACCTATGAATGGTAAAGTAGTATGTAGATTCTAGCATGATTTAAGTAGATTAGTCATATATCTTTAAATCTGTGGATTTGACATGTAAATTGTGTATTATGTATAAGTTTACTATGATTATTGATAAGACTATTGCTGTTTTCCCAAAATATTATCAGTGTTTATGGATTTCTTTTAGTAGTTTGAATCTTGGAATGTTCTGTAACAAAATACAACTTAAGCTATTTTGTACGTTTAAATATGATGCCATGTTGACTATATATTAAAGAATATTGCAAATATGAATAGTTATATGGTTATGAAAACTTTTTCACAAAATGATTGAACTCTCCTCCTAATACTTAACTGTGACATATTATAAAATATCTGACTTTAAAAAGTGGGATTTTATCTTGTAAAAATTAAAGAGAAACATTCTGAAGATTCTATATAAGTAGTTTTGAAAATAAAGTGGTGAATCATTTTGTCTTTTTCTGAATTGTTAGCAGCATACACATTGAATGGCAAAAAAATGTCCCATTAATTCAGTATACATTGGCTAAGCATCTATTATGTTGAGGATTGTAGGGGGCACAAAGATGAATAAATCTTAGTTTCTTCTCATGAGAAGCTTATTACCTAATGAGTTAGAAACACTTAAAACCTGACATAGATAGCTAACTTCTTAAGATACAAACTGTAATTGGTGGTAAATGCCTGTAAAAGACCTCACGGGTAATAGATGTTTAGACAAATGAGAAATGATTCTCTAAAGGGCATGTA